TATACGCTAACATTTTCTTATATCACGACTTTCATTTAAAACATGAAAATAATCATTTAATTTTGGTTGAAAAGATGTATCTTAAAAACTGAGCTAATCGCAGTTGGAATTTCATTTCACTCCACTGGTAATATTGCAAAGAAAGTATTACTTAGCAATCTACTTGCGAGGTTACGAATTGTATATTGTCTTCTTTTTCCAACTCTTAGTTGATATGTACTCTTGTTACACTCAGTTGTACATGATCACGCAAATACTGGGGAGTAAGACCTCGCAACGCTATCAATTCCTCACATGAACATAGCATACCCCTAGTGGATGATCTTCATACGAAGAAAGCAAATTCTTGGAACATTTCTTAAGCAAGAAGTGTTTCTAGTCATTTCTTGCGCAGGAATATTTGGACCAGCAGAAACTTTTTGTTCTTTCAACGTGGTCATTTATACTTTGTATACAACAGTCATGTGTTTTACAACAATGTAAAACACATGGTTCGTTGCTTATTTTCTTATTTTCGAACGAAGCATGAATAATGGAAGATGACCGTAGAAAGGTGACAAAAAAATCAGTTCTTTTTCCCATAGCAGAGTAAGTGTATGAAAAGAAAGTTTTGAGCTGTGATTAGAATGTTGGTCATAATTCGCTCATTTTTCATTTAAATTTAATGTTTTTTTCATCATTTGGCTCAGGAGACTTTGATCTACTGAAAAATGTAGAAAGATCCTCTAAACTGTCGTTCCCTCATAATGAACTAATTGAGAAAAGCTATAAGAAAAAAAACCATTCTATTTAGAGATACTTAGTGCATAATGCTTATTTTAGTCGCGCTTTTTTTCAGTTTTTATGTCTGCTTTTCTCGACCTTTTCTAGTAAGATTATTCGAAAAAATAAACTAATTTATGAGGTAAATACACAGCCAGATACGTCTTTGTAGTTTTACTTAATTACACATTTGAACTATCTATCTTTAGTTAGTTTCAAGGATCGAAATTAACTTCGCCATGTATGGACGTAGTTTAATATGATGATTGCAAAAAAAAATTCAGGATAAAAAAATGCATTAAGATAAGGTGATGAGCTTATTGGTAAGAAGAACAAGACAAATTTTTTTTGTGTATATATTTCGTATTTTATTTAATAAAAAAGTAGAATTTTTTCATCTTTTTTACTGATTAGAAATACATGATTGCCGACGAGCCGGAAGACAAAAAGTTTAGTAGTAGAGTTAGGCTAATTATTTGGATGTCGACGAATCGAGATGATACCATTGGATTCAGTCAAATATAATAATTCGTTTTAAATTAGAGAAAATCTAATTAAATAACAACAACAAGCAGCATATTAGTCATGTATTCTAGAAGCGCCAATGATTCAAAAAAACATCTTCAGAAAAACTGAAACTATTGAGACATTTATGAAACAAAACAAGTGATAACAACATTTGATTGATATCGTTTGAATCAAATAATAAATTGACGATAGTGCACACTATACTGATTCTAATTATGCTTTTCACCACCATAGTCGTGCTATACTCGGATAGCATTGCTCTATTATACGAAAAATAGAATTATTAGCTTTATTTGTTTTAGGTTGTTTTTCATATTCTAATTTGTGGATACAAAGTCGAATGTAGGATGAATTTTTGTGCACACTTCTTAAAGTGTTTGTTGTTAGTATTTGCTAGAAAATCAGAATATTGAAGTTAAAAAAACTCGAATTAGCTTAATCTAATCGATATAATATAAAATAAAGTTGAATCAGAGATTACTATGTATTAGTTTGCTAGTAGATTTTATAGTAAAAAAAATGATACTGATCTTATGTATGCATATTTAGATGAGCTTTAGCCGTCCTTATGTTCAACATCGTTCAAATGTTCCATACACATGTCATGAGATATGTATGGTTTTGCTAGACTTTTTAGCGTTCCTTTGAAACTTTTCAGTTTTTTCTCTTCAGGTCATCCATGGGATCCAAGTTGTTCCAAAGCAACTATTCTATTAGCAAAGCACGGTTTCAGAGAATCATTTAAAATTTACTGCGTTTTATACGGTGTACGTAGTTTTCTATTTGTATTTTGAATGTTATTTGAATCTGTTGTCATTGTGTAGGTTACTGGATTATGGAAATTGAAAAACTTGAAAAATTTTAAAGAAAGAAAAAAATTTTTGTTCAGCTTATTTTTTGAAATAGTACGATCCTCACTTTTTCTTGGATTTCATGGTGTACTATTTGTTCCAACGTGGTGTCTTGGAAGGTAATTTGTGAATTAATATTAAAAGTCGTCTTTTTATGTATGTCATTATTAGATATGCATTTGGTAGCACAAATTATTACGGCATCTATTTACAACTTATTCCCGTTACTTTGATTCCAATATTATTAGAACGTAAACAAAGGTACAAAATATCGCTAAGTGTATGTTAAAGAGGAATATTCTTACATATATTTAGACGTGGCTTGTTAGCATTATATGTTATGAATTTGGTGAGTATCATTTGTTCTGGATTTACGTACAGTCAGTATCTAAAAGAATATGACTTTTCACTAGAGATCTGCACGGGAAAATATGTTTTACTCGTGTCCATAGTTCTATTGGGAGTGCTTGTCCGTGGAATTTTTTCGCTGTCCACGTCCGTGCAGAAAAAAACATTTTTTTGTGCCGCAGATGTGGTGGCATTTTTTTGTCGAAGTGAGCGGTCCATACCGATTCGTGTCTTTTTCGAGTCTAACCGTGCCCATGCAAATCTCTACTTTTCACTCCATTTTCATAAAATATGACTGCGGTCGAATATGTGTTTGAGGTTAATATCTCTTAAATTATTCAAAGGCTATTGAAGTCTTATTCCAGATGGCTGTGAATAGAAAGTTAATTAAACCAGTTCATAATGGAGAAGTATGTATCACTGTAATATCATTTGGATATTTATCTATCAACGTTTTTATGTAGGTATTGCTGTTTGCACTTATATCAGCTATTTATTTATTCACTCTTAAGTAGGTGAGAGATGCCTGTATAAACTTAAAGTTACAATATTTTGTGTTTGTAGATCTTCACCGAAACAAGAACAGTCTGGTATTATATTTTCCATATTGAAGTACGTAAGTATTCTAAAATGTTTATTGTTCCATTACACTTGTTGATTGTTCGCATTGTATGAGATTCCATTTGTAGAAATTTAGTTGGAAAAGACGAATTTGATGTGGATAATGAAGATAAAAATAAAACACAGGAAAAAAATACATTTTATAATGCCATAATGAGAATGTGGAGAAGAACTTTAGATAAATATTTTACGAAAAGCTCAAATACCTGCAAGCATCAATATAATTGTTTTATTCATAGTATTCTGGTAACGACTTTTCATATTTACCTCTCTTTTTCTTTATTAAGGATGTTATTGTTTCTAGGGATTTATACAACGTTTTCTTATCGGAGTTTTTATCACACTTCTATCACATTTTATAGCTTCACCGTTATCACACATTAAACATCCCAGCCAATTTTTTTCATCGTTAAATAAAAATTTTCTAAATCTAGGCAAATTTTTTGGATTTTATGTCTTCATTTATCGGGTATGTTTGATTACGTCAGTATATCCAAGGAAATTTTTTCATACTACAATAATAATTCTTTTTAGTTTATTTGTTGTTCATTACGTTATTTTACAAAGGTCGATCGGCCTATTCATGGATTAATTGCTGGATTTTTCTCTGGTTGGTCAATGGTGTATTACAAAAGTTCCACTCTTACGTTGTATATGTTATCCAAACTCTTAGAAGTATTTTAATATATTATTTTGTCATATTCATTGACATATATATTTTTCTTTTTTTTCAAATTAAGCGTCTATGGTTTCAAGGTGTCAAAAGTAAAAAAGTGCCGTTATTACCATGGTTCGATTTAGTTCTTTATACTCTTTCAACTTCACTCGTCTTTCATGCAGCCGTTGTAAAACCGCAAGCAGTTCGTCCTGCTTATATTAAATTTCTTCAGCGTTTAACAGGTGGTTATCTTGCAGCTGTCAATAGACCATTGATAGATTGTTTTGGCACACATGCATCAAGGTCATTTCCAAATTATTGTGCGCCATGTGGTTACCAGCACACCATTCTAAAAAAAATCAACTAACAAGTTTTTATCATATTTATCATGTTCTTTGTGGGTGTTTTTTCGATAATTTAATCGAAATTCAGATAATTTCATTCTATTTATCTTTCTACTATTTTTTATTTTGTTATAACCTTCATCAAATGAGAATGTGATTTTAGTTGATTTTTTGTGCATATGAAGTTATACCGAATGAATAAGTTAATGTTTAAGTAAAAAAGGTATTTTAGTATTAAAAATAAATCACTTAATAGACTGATGAGATACAACATAAAAAAATAATGAATTTAAGAAAGTTTTCTGTACAAGAGACAAAGATATACACTGTTCAAAGGTTACAAAAATATAAAAATGGCAATAAAATTATTATCTATCTGTATTGATATTATTATTTTCATCATTATTCACAAATACATATCGGATCAGCCAATTAGCACATTTTTCAATCGCCTTTGGTAAATATTTTTGAAATTCTTCATCCATAATCTCTCCCTCGTCGTTTTCATATTCATTTTCATTATTATAATTGCGATTATCTATCTCACGACCTCGAGTAGTACGATATGGTGCTCCCTGGAAACGTTTAGGACTTGGAGATTGTTTTTTCAATTTTGCTGTTATTACTGTTCGTTTTGTTACAAGAGGTTTTTGTATATTATTAAAGTTTTTATTTAATTGAGCTAATGGTTGCTGTTTAGGCATTGATTTTTTATCTTGATCTTTTGAGATAATAAACGATTGTTCGATGAATGATTGCTCAAAATCGGGCGAATCGTTTATTGTTTCATTTATTTTAATTAATGAAGCTTTTGTTTGTGGTCGACTTAATGAACGTTTCGACAAAATATCTGGCATAACAGTAGTGTGGTTTGATTTTTTTAGTATAGGTGATTCGATGGGCGGTGTAATAGTCATTGTTGAGTTTGATTGAGATCGTTTGGGACGTGAAGTAACAGCTGTACCGTAACTTGGCCATATCAGTGATGGATTTAACGATAGTACTGACGATTGTGCTAATACACGATCTAATTTAAAATTTCGATTAAATAGTTTTTCGGCTGTTAAACGTTCGTTTAATGTCTGTGAATTCATAGTATTCCACAAAGTATTATCGATGGAATTCGATGAACGAATGTCTGAACGTACACAAGCAGCATCAATTTTGTCTTTTCTTGCGCGAATAGCTCGAATTTTATTAACATCTGCAACAGGTGCATTCGTATGCATCAACGGTCGAGTTGATGTACTGAATTGTGATGGAACATAAGCACTCATTTGATGGGATGCCCGTTCCGTACAG